TGCATATATACCCAGCGCACATAACCACCGAAAACATCCGTGGATCCACCACCGTATATAGCAGTTAAATAAACATATATATATTTAAATTGCAAGAAATGAGCCCGGAAATTCAATCGAAATAGAGTTGACGACAACGATCTCAAGTATTTCGAAAGAGCTAAATCAGCTTGGAGCAAAACGTGTATGTGGTGTGTGGAATGCCAGTACGTTGGATGTATTTCGTATATTGTGTGCTCAGTGAATATTTTCATTGTTGATATGACTACGAAAGTCATGTGCAATGTATCCACTTTCATTATGTGCGTATTCAAATAAAATTGAAATGAAAAAAAAAGAATAAAACGAATAACACTATTGCTTGAGGCCAAACGAACAAAAAGCATTCGTATTATCAGCCAATGTGATTTATAATATTTTCTGTCAAGTGGTCGCTGAATAAGTTCTCTGTATTTAGAATTAATTCGAATTTTATGGGCACCGGTTGGTTCGAAATACCAATTTTAAATAATTCCAGCACAACAACAGCAACGGCAGCAAAAAAATAATAATACCATAAACTATATGGAATCCAAAAACTTATGTTAATTTATTTTACGTTCAAAACCAAAATGATGATGAATTGGAGGCCACTATTAATTTGCTGGAAAGTTTTCGCTCGTATCTCATCTCTTTTTTCCCATCTCTCTCCCTTTCTCTTGACAACGAATGAACTTATAATTCGAGGTATCATGGATATGCATGAAAATCGATTCTCAGGATAGACCACCCATATATTTTACATCAATTCCGTTTTTTCTTCGTCTTTCTGGACACGTTTATTTGTTTGTGTTTGATAGCCCTTGTTGCGGGAGTATGAGTAAGCCAGCGAGTGTATGGTTTTGTGCACATGGAAAGTGTTCAAGTCAAACAATGTCCTATCCTATCCTTTCGACTTATATTGCATCGTGTAAGAAGTGAGCTCATTTGTTTTGAAACTTTTTAATGGAATGTATCATATTCAAGAAAAAAAAATCTGTTTGAATTAAAGCGGTAGTTGGTAAATAACTACCAAAAACTTTAAATAATCTTGAGATGGAGTTTTGTTCTCCCGTCATTCCTTCGTGTGTGTGTGTGTGTGTTTTTGTCCTCTTCCAGAAAACGTTCGCTTTCTCTCTGTTGTTAACCTTTTTGTGCTGGCATTTTTCACGTTTGAATAATATTCACCTTTTTGTAGCAATTTTCGTGCACGTAAGTGTGTTAGTTAATCTGCCAGACAATTAGATTGAAAATGAACTCCATTTTGCACGTATTCTAAATATTTGATGATGAAACAATCGCAATGGCATCTTCACTGAAATTGTCAATGGATTAGAAATCAGTTAAAAAAACAAGCGTTGAAACAAGTTGCATTTGCCAGACAATTACCGAAAATGTAAAATAAATTGACACGAAACCGTGAGACAGAAATGTAGTCTACATAGAACATTTGCGATTGAACGTTTCAGTTACACTCAAGATTTTTACATTCAAAATTTAGATCGAACTATATACATTCTATGTTTTGAATGAAAACAATTTTGAATGCCATTCAGACTACCGGCACAGTTTTTAGATCATCAACGGCATCCGCGTGTTACATGCATACATGTCGAATTGCATCATGTTCGTGCAGCGCATTTCTTTACATGAAATCAAAAATTGAGTACTTATAAAAGTTTCTTTTCTCCTCGGCGCTCTTTTCATTTCATCTTCTTCGGTATTTGTTCACCATTTGCGCTTCGATTGCAAGAAGAGTTTTTGCTAGCCTGTTATTTCATGTGAGTAATATCACAAGATTGACGCCAAAAGCAGCTCGGTGCATATATTCGGTGCAGTGATACTTTAATAGCTCAACGTACAGTGTGTCAAAAAACGTTATGTAGTTGCTTTTTTAAAAAAAAAACTAATGCCATTATTCGATGGCAACGTCGATGCCAGTGGAACTAAATAACAGAACTAAACTGTGGCAGCAATAGAGTTACAGCATGTGTAGGAAAAGAGAAAGTCAAGCAAAAAATTTCAAAAGAATAAAGTTGAGAAAAGACACAGAGAAAAAAGAGAACGGAAAATTTGAAAAATGCACAAATAAAGAACACTGTTACGACATCGCTTTGAAATAAAATCAAAACAAAATGAATAACAGGCAACGAAATATGGTGGTAGCGATGTAAAGCAGGGATTCATTTTTATATCTTGGGTCACACTTTAATCACCCTTGTATCCACTATGAAAACCGCTGTATTGCTATACAACGTCGGTATTCACCTGTCATATAAATAAACCACTCGTGGTGGCGAAATGTTTAACATATTCGTGGTGCAAAGATATTCAAATTTATTTCGCGCAATTTTTTCGCACCAAAAATGTGTCAAAAATACACCACATTGACACCACTCAATTTGGGTACAGCTACAGAGTGAGATTTTTTGCCAGCACAGAGGTTTTCAGAGCGAGGATTCCTTACAAACTTTGTAATAAGAAGGAATATGGCTGCGATAGGTGACTGAATTGAAACATAAAGAGGCATGTGCGGAATAAGTGACAAGAAATTTTAGATGTTGAATCAGCGGAGGAAGTCACCACAAAAATATTGTTTAGACCACCAACAGTAAAAGCAATGACAATCAGTAAAAAAATATTGTATAAGCACAAACAAGAGAAGTTTGCGATGTTATAATACTTCAAATTGGTATGTTACACGTAAATTTTCATCGTTTCTAAGGGGTATATAAGAAGTTGTAAGAAAAGAAGAATGAAGAAGAAGTAGTTCGATATGAAGAGTATGCTTTTACTTGAAATAGTCAGATGGCGATACTAATGCAGTTTTCAATACGTACTGAATATGAATTTTTCCATCTGCTCAAATAAAACCTTATTCTCAATCGCAAATGAAAATCGTTGTGAACAAAACTAATGAAAAACATCCCCGAAACAAGCCAAACCCAATTGAGCAACGAATATGTGCACATAATACACGAACACAAACAATTGACTAATATTAGAATGTGAGTGGGAAATCGTTAACCTATAGTTTGTGGCTGAAATCGACTCAAGAGCACCTATATTTTCGACATTGTTTGTTGTGATCCTCTTTCAGATAATAATCAGCTATTATCGAAGCCTAAAATGAATTTTAAATGAGAAATAGAACGCAAACATCCATAATATTCATGCGAAATGTGTAACGTCAACGTTTCGGCACTGCCGAAAATAATGAAAAACATGTATAATATTGAGTGTGTGAGAGAGAGAGAGAGCAAGTTAAATCTACGAAAAATACGACGAAAGAAATTAAAAATAATCTTTAAGCATGTGTAATGCTCGGTTGGCACAATTGCAATGTGTATAATACCCTAATATGTTATAATAGCTGTAATAATAAAAGTATTTACTACGCAAATTCAAGGCGAATAGAAAGTTGCTACATGATATAGTTAACATTTAATTCGATATGACTTATGCTAGCTCAACTTTGCATGTTTCTTTCATTCTCTGTGTGCTGAAAGTTAGAACGAGAAAAATGAAGAGCGAGAGGGTGAGAAATAGGGGAATAGGAAAAGAGACTGAGTTGAACTAAATAACATGAACTGGTAATAAAACTGAAGAGAAAATCGAAACGGAAGAAAAAGGCGAATAAGAAAAGATGAAATGAACTTTACGGAAGTTCCTTCTGTTTTTCTTTTGCTGTCATTCCTATTTTTCCATTCTTTTCTTCGGTTGCATTTGGACTTATAATCTATGCGCACATTTGTGTATGTCGCGACTTATTCATAGATAATTTTCCAAAGATGATGTGGGTATGTGTGTGACTGTGTGTATACAAAATGACACTGTGAAACTAAAACGATAAATGGAACAAGTAAATGAAAGAGTGAACATCTCTTTCTCTCTTCTTTTTTTTACTTCTGCCAAACAATTATATTGTATGTGCCAAGCATACGTCGTTTTTTACATAACCCAGAGTTTTATGAACGTTTATATAGAAATCGACATAGTATGTTCGGCGTATGCAGAGTGCACATTTAAAAGTATGGAATACAATCTTATGAGAGACTCTTGACAAACAAAACTGCTCTTAAACCGAAAACGTATTGTATACGAAATGAAAAAGCATCAACAACTAGAAATTCACTCTTTTCCTTGCTTTCGTTCGCTCTGACATTGAAGTTTCCTTCACGAGAAAATATCTACAAATTGTAAAGCTATTTATTAAATTTTAATCAAATTTCGTCGTATTTTGGTATGGCAAAAGGCATGCAAACCAGCTCAATCATTCCAAACACTGTAAGTGACGTCGAAGTAAACGAAAATAACAAGAGATAAAAAGATGGAGTGAGGAAAAAGAGAGCACACGAACTTTACAAAGCTAATCTCAGCCAGTGTTTGTTATGTCACATGAATTCAGTTGTTTGTTTACGTAATAAAATTATTTTAATAACAAACTGAAATGAACTTGTATATAGTTAAAATGCATTGAAAATACAAGAAGGTGCGAAGAGTGTAACGGGAGCGATTTTATTTTCAACTTTTTACCAGCATGTAGTTCAGAGCATGGAGGAAACTGATTAGCGCGATCTCTACATTCCCATCCTTTCGTTGCCCTCATTCATATTCTCCGTCTCTCCCTCTCCCTCTATTAAAACTGTTTACTTTAATGGGAAACATTTTTAAGCCCAAGTTGTGAGATTGTATTTTAGCATTTGGTTTGTTTTGTTACTTGTAAAACTTCGACAACATCCAATACATTGGATGATAATCATCGTTATAAGCATTTTATGTTGGAAACCATTATGATTTTTGGTATATGGCATTCATCCGGTTGAATGGGTGCTTTCAAACATTTCTAATTACAATTGATAATTATCAACATTTTGCCATTAATTCTTCAACAATTTCAATTTTTTTTTTGTGTCGAAAATTCTTTCAGATAGATATACCGCCTATTTAAGAATAACAATGGTAAAATGAAAATTACTTACCGGTCCGAATTGTTCGAAGTAGCTCTTGACATCTTCCAGCGTTGTGGGAGCAGACAAGCCACCCACAAATATTTTCTTCGTTCTCGTCACCATCTGCGAAAGAGAAAGGGCAAAAATACACAACGATTAAAATACAATGTCAACAATTTTTGGTAAATAGATTTTGGGCGATAACGACTACAACTTTACTGTGTTGCAGCAGTAATTATAATTTTAAAATATTTAACACATAATGTGTAACTGGAACGAACTCGGAACATTTTCGAGTAATGATTTTGATTCCATTCGTACGCCCGCATTTTTTTTTTTTTTTCGAAAATTTTATTCAAATATTTAATTATGCATTTTTGTACGACATTTTGAGTCAGCAAACGAAACAAAAACGACCCCCCAAAAAAATAAAATAATTAAACGCATAAAGACTGATTTGATTTTAAAGGGAATGAAAGACCAACAACGAACATTGTTATTTTCCATTTTTATTTTCGTATGATACGAAACGAGGGATACAAATACCAAAATATCCACAACGAAATACGAACCCTTAGATATTTAAAAGGGAATTCGAGAAGATTATTTGACCAAAACATATAGCATTAATTATTTCTGAAGCGAATTTTCGGATCAAATTTTGAGGTCGAAAAAGTAAATACATATTTTTCCATGGCACATCACATCGGAGAAGTGAATAAACTAAAATTGGTTGTCAATTTAGATAAGAGTAGACAGAAATAAATGAACCAAATCTTCTACCATCATAACAGCTTAAATTGATTTGATTATGTTTGAATTGGCGTGAAAAGCGAGAAACGAATGCGTAAAAATGAATGCCAAATCCGACAATTAGACATGAAATAGAAACGAAATGAAGTGAAAATAAAATGGCAACAAAAACAAAATCGAATTCGAAATCGAATTGAAAATAAAATAAAAAAGACGAAGATACAAGTGAATACAAAAGGGCACGAGTGTAAGCGTGCATATGCCGATTCAAATCGAATGCTGAATACTGTGGTATATGACAGATCAAAGAATGAAATTTAGACTTCTATCGATTTCGCATAAAAACCAAAATGCAGAGCAGAAAAGAGACAGACGGAGTAAAATTGAGAGTAAAAGAAAGTTGAAAAAAAAAAACAACACGAACGAATGGAATTGAAAGAACGGAAGATTGTGTATGAAGACTCGTTACATCACCGTATAACGCGTGTCTTCGTTACATAGAAGAGACGAAGTGAAAGACATTAAGTGGAAATAAAAATGAAGAAGAAGGTATAAATTCAATTATGCAAAATAAGCTTCAAGGAAATTGTCTCAGGCGTTCGTCTTCTTTTTCTTCTTCTCTTTTTTTCTTCGTTTCCTATACACAACATTTGCGCATTTCGTTTCGAATTTCAGATTCAAAATGTATCGAAAGAATCGGCAAATGTTTATTTTGCTATATAATTTTTTTTCTCGCGCTCCTTTTCATTACACAGATTTCTTTGCGTTTCAGTCGTAAATATTTTGACCTTTTTTTTCATAAATTATCAAACAATTACATTTTCGAAGGGAAATACAGAGCTATAAACTATAAGGTGTGAAGAGAATAAGAAAATTGAAAAATGATGGCAAGTGCTAGAAAAAAGGATAGAATCGAAACGAAAGTTTAGTTCGTTTGGTATAGGGGCGCTGTTGACGCCTTTTTTGATGCATTGTCTTGAGGACCAACGGTAAAGTTCATTGGCGGCTGCTAGACTTCAGCATAGATCCGTACCAACAGAAAACGGATGTCCAAAATGGTGAAATTTTCACATTTTTACAAGTGGACGGACGAACTGACAAAATTTATTCGTTTGAAACCTTGTTGATACAATAAAACTGTTTCGTATGCGTCGATGGATTCAAAGTATTTAGGTTTCTGGTTTAATATGCTGATTATTAGTTCATCTCTGACACCGCGTCTCTTTGAAACAAATGATTTTTTTTTGTGTATTTGTCTTCGGGAAAAGAGATACGTGATCCGTGCTCTAAATGCACGTAACAAACACCCAGTATGTTTTTTTTTGCACTTCATTGTTGATGCGAAATCTTGATATTGTCATGAATGCTTTGTACTGAGGGATGGTGTTTAAGTGAAATTCTTGATGCGTTTAATTTGATTGGAGTCAAAAAGAAATTGAATTTAACTGTGTGTGGGATTTTTTTTTCTTCTTCTCTCGCTTATACTCTCTTCCCCTAGTTCAAATTAAATAAAACATAAACAACCCACACAATACCATTTATACGGTACGATGATGCCGCTTTCTCGCCATCAGAAGAGTTTAATAAATATAAATAAAATATTGATACTACGGAAGCACTTTAATCAGCACAGTGAAATTAGAATAAATACAGAAGAAGAAAGTACAAAATACACTTGTGCGAAAAACAACAAAAGTAGAATATATTCAATGCAGAATATCAGCGAGAAAGAACTAAGTCACAAATGAGCGACAGAGACAGAGAAAATGGGAAGCAGATTCAAAAAGTTTGTGTTTTTTTTTTCTTTGCCAAAGAGCGGTAACGACAAGCGGCGACCAGCTCGCAACAAACAACGCTCAAGAAATAAAATCAGAAAGAAAAGAGCGAATGCGTACACAAAGGGGCAATAAAACAAAAACCCTTATTTATTAAACGGTTTGCTGTTTTCTCGCATTTCGAATTCTTTTCTCATCGAGCTCGTCGTCGTCCTTGTTGTTGTCGCTTTTTTTCCTACTTTTTTTCTGTTCGCTTTTTTGTGTCATGTTTCGTTGGTTTGGTTTTTGTCCTTCTCTTCGTTTTCTGTGCATGTGCTTTGCGATAGCACGAAGTATTCTCACATCATGGATTATGTGCACAAAAAATTATCATCACCATTTGCTAAAGTGCAAAATGGAAAACGGACACGAAATTAAGGAAAACTACAATAACCGAAGAAAACGCACATACAAATACTCACTTACTCAAACTCTTGCTTTCGATATTTGTATGTGTGTGTTTCACTCGGCATTGTCCGTTCAATCGGAGCTTTTCACTCATTCAAGTGCAACGTACACGATACAGCGAACAACATGCCAACAAAAACCGAGTAAAAACCAACAACAGCTAAAATAATGAAAGAAAACGTACTGATTTGGAACGATCTTTTGAATTTTTAACAAAATCATTATAATACAAAAGCTTGCCGCGTATGAAAAACGCATTTATGTACTTGAATCGTGTGCTCAGTGCCCACACACCATTCACAAAAGGAAAAAAAAAACAAATCAGTGAGATACCAACATGGAAAAACTTTTTCACAATGCATCACAGAAACACTGGTACGAATATATGTTGATTCGGAAATTAAAATAGAAATGCACTGCTACCTAAACTTCAATCCCAACGCATCTATGAAAAACTGCAAATACATACACCATATAGTTTCAATTTTCCCATTGAAATAAACATAATCTTGTGTAATTTTCGTTCTTTTTTGCTAACTATGCAAACGACCCCACAACACTGAAGCGCAAATGAGCAGCTGGTCTCACAACAGCATTCATTATTTAGATTCTAATTTGTTGTTGTCTCTACAAATGGAATATTTTGCCGCATTTTAATCAATCAACCATCTAATTCCATTCTTCGTTATAATTTGTAATAATAATTGAATCTTTTTTTTTTTGTCACATCGCATTTTCACTTCAAATCGATTAAGTGAGAGTATGAGTGGGAATGAAGTATAGAAATTAAGAAGCTGAAGAAATGGAAGAAAAACTAAGCAAGCGTCTAATTGAATTTAAAGAAGTTAAAAGTCTTATGAAAATATTTTGACAAAAGAAATCTTATTAAAATCGAGCGAGCGACACACAAAACTTTACGAAAATTGATTTGAACGTGGCATAACGTTTCGTGTGCTTTTTTATGACGGCCAGAAAAATCCGCAATGAAAATATATCCCAGGCATAATTTTCCCCTTTTGTTTTTAAGTTCTTTGTCCGTCTGTGATGTCGTTTATATCAAACTAATTTGATTTGAGTCAGTCGTCTCTCTAAGCATCTCTATTTAGAAACCATCCATGTTCATAATAATTGAATAATCATTATATACTTAGACGAACGCCATTCGTCAATTTGCCATTATTTTTATGCGTTTTTTTGGTGTGCCTACGCTTTCACCCCGTTAATCTTTATTTTATTCTATTGGACCCAGAAATGGTTACGTAAAATTTTAAAAGTTTTTTTTTCTACAAAGCGACGCTGCTGTTAATTAAAATAATAGATTGGATTAGCGTGAAACGTTCTCAATGCGTTGGCTTTTTTACTTAATTTGCCACCATTCACGATTGAACATTGAAAATGTATAGCTTTGATGGTTTATTTTGTGTGTGTGTGTGTGTGTGTGAGAGTTGGGCTCGCATTCAAGGCACAATGTTGAAATAAAAAAAAGAAAAAAAAGTATATTTTCAAAGTATCAGATCGCATTCAATGGCGAAGAAAAAAAAACTGACTCATTGAGTATAAATGGGAGAGGATAACAAAAATAGGCAAACTGAAATATTACTGTAGCGCCGCTTGATTATGTTACAATAACTTTGAGCCAATGACGACCACAGTTAGTTCATTTTGTTTGATGGACCACGAATAACTACATTTGACGATGATAATCTTCGCCACCACAATACCAACTTCAAATCAAACGTTATATTTCTGTATAGAAAGAAGATATGTATTATCGCGTATGCTTAAAACTTCTGCTGGTTGTGATATAAATAAGATTCAGTTAATCTCGTTTCGTTTAACTTAATTCCAAAAATTTCATCTATATGTGCCCTTTCAAATGTACTCTCGACTTCTGATAGATGTGATCCAACAATCATCTTATCCCCAGACACACTATATTCACCAGCTATGCCGTTCACTCTGCCCCGGCTCTCTCTCTCTCTCTCTCTTTGTCTCTCCCCGCCTCTCCAGCGAGTATCATATTATGTGCGTACTTCCACTTATAACGAGTACGTAAAACTCGTTAAAAGAATACTTTTGAAACAAAACCTGTTGTAATTCTCAAGTATTGTGCAATTTAACTCTTGTCTTTGTTGCTGATTGTCTGCC